ATTTTTATGGCTGTTCCGACAGGCTGGGGCTAAAGAGCTGTTGCCCCCGTCTCGAATGGTATGATTGTTGTGTTTTAAATTATGCATTGTTATGCTTTGTTTTTTAAACTTTTTGTCTGTATCCCACTTCCCTGGTTCGAGTTGTGAGCCGCCCTGAGTCCCCTTTGGGGGAAAAGGGCGGCATATAAATACAATAAACTGAAATGAACTGAACTGAATTTTCTTTTCTTTTATTTTCTTTCTTTCCTCTGTCTGTAAGCCGCCCGGAGTTCTCCGGGATTGGGCGGCCTATAAATAAAATTAAACTTGCAAACTTGCAAACTAGCCCCGCTCTAAGGCTTCATAGAATAGAAAGGTCTTCAGTCTTCAATACTGCCTCCCCGTACTATTTTGGCCCCATCAAAGACTCTTCTCCATAACCTGACTGCTTATGTTGCAACTGAGAGTGAAAGAACCTTGATAGGAGCTCTGGCTATGGGTCAGAAGTAGCTAAACTGGCCTTCACTTCATGAAACAATTTGTGGAATTCTTCATTTAGCAAATGCATTTGTTAAATGTGGAAAGTAAATTTCATCTGGTTTTTATTTTCTTGCTTTGCTATTTGTCTACTCCTGATTGTATCACTTTTCTTTGTAATTAACATTTTCAGTCTTTTTCATCCATTTTAATTGCTGTTTACTACCCTGGGTGCTGCATGAGCACTAGGAAGACAGGATATAAATATATTTATGTATTAAATTTCATACTGTGTGGAGCAGGCCCACTTCCCAAGGAGAAAGCTTAATATTAATGCCTGCCAAGATTTAAAAGTACAATCAATCAATAAAAGCTGCCATCCCCTGAGAATGGGTCTGCCCACCCAGCATGAATCCTCTTATGAAGGAGCAGCTGCTCTAAATATATATTCCAAACGATTCTTCCAGAAGTACTTTATTCTCAAGGGTTTGAGACACTGACCTCTGTTTTGAACTTCTCCTTGATTGCTGGCCACACAGTGTCCTGGAAATGGCCTCTGTCCACCTGTAAGAAGTTACCCAGCAGGGTCTAGAAGAATAAGAGCAGAAGTAAGCCGTTGTATAGTGCTCATGAAAGTACTAACACAACTTACCAAATGCACTTGCCGCTTCTCAGTATGTGGATGAACTTTGCAAGAAAAAGACTCTTAAATACGACCAATTACAATAACGAACACGACTACAGTAATCCTAATCTCTCCTTCCTTCCCCTCCTTTTCTCTTCTTTCTTTCTTTCTTTCTTTCTTTCTTTCTTTCTTTCTTCCTTCCTTCCTTCCTTCCT